TTATCAAGTGTTAAAAAATACTGACTGTTGTTAAAATAGGAAAAGAGTGCAACAAGGAAGAAAACCAGTGTTAAAAAACCCCTAAAACTACAACAGATGGATTTTGGGAGTGCATGGTTGCAGAAGTCGTCTTGTGCCTTACAATCATATTTTTACCTGCTCATGTGGTGTACACCTGTGGCTTGTTGGCAATACACTTGATTGCAGTGTAAGAGATTCCAGGTTCACAACCAGACTTGTTATATCTTTGTTCTGTTATGTGGATATGTCCTGGTATCCCAATGTTTACATGCTTTTTTTAACCTCTTCTAATGCTATTTGTTGAAAAAGCTTTGACCTTTTTAAATGCACTTAATATCAATGCAAAAACAAGGATATATGCAATAACCAAAATAGCCATGTGTACAAAAAATTCATTCGAGAGAGCTTGAACTAGCGTCCCAACATGCTTTTATATTGTGACCTAATGTGCAAGCACTAGACCACCCCACCACAGGTAAGAAATGAGAAATTTTGAGGGCTATTGAACACTGAATTTTCACAGCAGAACAGTACAAAGTTATTTAGCAGTGTTCAATAGCCTTCAAACTCGCTTCTGTCTTTACGTTACAGTAGTCCAGGGAGAAAAGGCTATAAAATAAAACACAACCGTGCCCCGCCCCCAAATCCAGACTGACTTAAGATTTGCTAAAGGGCTTTTTCTTACATTTTATGTTAAGGCTTATTTACATTTTTATGCGTTTGTATAAAAAAAATACATACACTGTAACAGGCTCTATCAGGTAATTGTGCATTAACAGCATGCATATCTAATTCTGTCTCAAAAGACAACACGCTGCTAGTGTGGCACAAATGCACATTAAAAGAATGAGTAAAATAATACCATAATTATGTGACGATAGTTCTTCATCCAGAGTCTACTCAATGAAAGGTGAACTTTGATATCATATGTGAAGCAGACTTGTTTTTACACACATTGTTTGGATATAATTCTGGATATTAAATTAGTAATCCTGCTTTCTCTTATTAACCATCACAAGGAAATATATGGAGTGCTAATCACGACTATCAGTTTCTGCAATTTTCTTATGGATTGAAAGGTGTGTGAGGGTTTCTTTAAGTCAATCTAATAAGCTAACCCCTTATCCCCCCACCCCTTGAATTTCTTTTTAAAAAATGAATATTAAAGTGATAAATCTGTTACAATTTTCGGTATAACACCAGAAATCAAGCAATTCCCCTCTACCGTGTAAAAGTTGGGTGAGTTTACCCATTTATGGCTATGTATTTCAATCCTGGCCTCTGTCTAAAATGGATGTTTCATTGATGGCTGAGGGTAACACTTCAAAAATGAACTAGCTAAACAAACTTCCCAGCAGCACTTGACAGAACTACACCTATTCTTTCCCATTTCCAAAGCAGTACAGAATTAATTACCAGTTCTATGGATCTATTGTAAGTATAATAGACTAAAGAGCTATCACAGACACATTTATTGTAAAAGCACAATCCCAAGAGTGTCTAGTAGAGGGCCAAAACGATTAACACAAATGCTTTGTCAGATCAAAGATAAAACCTGCACCGCCCAATTGAGGAATGAATTAGAACAGTGGGTTATCTTTCAAATTAACCAGGGCAGTTAGTGAGGAAAATTTCATGAAAGTGTAATTCTTAGCCTTTGTGAATCCACACAGCAGGCATTCTGCCAGCTGACAAGATGATGAAATTTTCATGCTTAAAAAAGCCCTCTTCATTTCCCAATTTAGATTAGCTAGTGTTTCTCTCTCTCTTTTTCGTCTATTTGCTCTTCTGCTGCAGAATTTAAAAAACCAAGATCAATCTTTCAAAAGAATAATGAACCACTGAAAAGAAACCAAAATCTCTGGATGTCATCTTTAAAAATACTATATTTGCAGTTTCAAAAAAGTAAGGAAGATGATTAAGATTTGTATACATTAATATTATTAAGCAATTCATAACTGTTGGAAACATGATGAATATGTTATTTGTGCAGCTGATAAAAATTCATTTTTAAATGGAACAAGACTGGTCTCCTGAACAAAGGACAGTATTTTACACAAAGGTGGATGTGTTTATTAAAATAGAAGAAACTACAGCAGACTTGCAAATTTTGATTTGCCCTCCTACATTATGTATCTTTTTATAAAAAATTTAAAAACAAAAACAAAAAAAGAAAAACAAGTAAATTGGTAGCTATTTATGAGCATTGTCATAATGGTGGGCAAGTAGATTTTGTACCTAGTAAAGTCGAGTTTGATAAATTTAAGGCATTCTGATAGAATAAAGGGGAAAAAAATTAATAGTATTAACCCTTAAAATCTGATTCAAAGCACACTGTAATAAACAGAAAAAGATTCCCACTCGTTTCAAAAGATTTTTGACCAGGTTGTAAGAAATTATAAAACTTAGCACTGCTGCCTACCTAAAATGTAGCTAACTATATTTTTTGATTACAAGAAAAGGCTCCTTTCCCACATGCTTAGACTTCAGTAATATGTGCAGTTTTACCCACAGACAAACAAAGCAATGTTTACCATACAAAACAAAATACAGAGATACAAATTAAACAATTTAATTTTCCTATTTTAAATGTATATGCGTCTGTCTGAAGGGCAGTCTTTCCCATAGGGGTCTGCTATACATAGTATCAAAAAGAGTAATCAAATGTTTTGCTCATACTGTTTCTTCTCCTCAACTACTCCCATGTGTGTTGTTGTAGTTTATAAGATTATGTATCTATTAGCCCAAAATCCATTTGAAAATTTTCAACTCCAGCTGTTCCACAACTAGTATAAGTACTAGGTGGAAGAGAACCAATGCTCATGGCACCTGCCTATCTGTTATTCCAATTCAATGAGAGTTCCTTTTTCAAGACTAAATAAATCATCTCATTCAGAAGTCAGATCTGAAAGTACAGTCATCCCCCTAAGTCCTGAAGATTAATCACGACACTTAGCATTCACATTCATATAACTCTTTTTAACCTACAAAATACAGTCCAAATAATAAATAAATCTAACACTAAACTCATCATACCATATATACCTACCAGCAGACCTATCTATATTCAAACACTCATAATTACATTGCTGTAACTTCCATTAGAGGGAGCCCAGTATGAACTTTTATTCAATCACCATTTGTATGGACCATGGACCACGATATTAAAAAAGGCAGAATATAACGAAACTTGCAATTAAGTTTTGTAGTTGTTTAAAATCAAATTGCAAGGTGTCATTGCTTATTACCTGATTGTATAATGATGGGGAACATGCCTATACTGAGATATTACCAACATGGACAGACAGAGGTACAATAGCTATTCTTTCTGCTTAACATGAGATCTGAAATCTGGATGTAATTTTACCCAATTAAAATACCTACCAATGTCTTCACCTTCTAACAAAGTGACTAAATTTAACACTAAGGATCTATTGGGCTCCTTCTAAAAACAGGATCTTAAAATAATTGCAAATTCTTATTTACAAGTTCAGAAACTACCTGTTACCAGGAAATTAAGAGCGAAGTGTTTACTTATTAGTGTATCAATACACAATATACACATTTTTTAAACAACCCAAAAATCCAGTATTACCTATCAATTATAACTAATATTAATATTTCTACTACTGTAATTTTCTGTAAACATGTTCTGTAATATTAAACAAAGTGAGATGTCAGTTTGCTAATGTAGTTATTCGAAGTTATATTGTTAAAGGCAGTCTCACTTTCTTCATTCAATTTTAGATACCAAGGGCCTTTTTTCAGAAATTAAGGGCACCTGAAATATCTATTTGCTTCCAGTGGAATATTGTGTGTTTACCAACTCTGAAAGCTAGGCCTGAAATTACATATCCAAAACACTGAAGGACCTGGAAGTTTGAGGACACTTCCAAACATCTGGACTACAATGGCTATGTATAGCTCTAAAAATGAAATATATTTTAAAATGTATTTGTATTTTGAACACATTAAACGTATTAAGTGTAGCAGAGAAGTATATTTTTTCCTAAACAGCAACCATTAAAAAAACCTTAATGTTTAAAAAAATACCAAATTCTCTTATCTTCTGGTCCATGATCTATTTAATATTCATATTACTACCAGAAAGAAAAATGGGACATACATACACACACATTTCACTGAATGTACAATCAAGCATACTTCAGTTCATATTAAGATGGCCTGTGAGCTATAAAAAATAAACTAGTTAGTTGCAGGACACCTGAATACTCTGATAATTAAAGTAGATGTTTCCAGTTTCATAAACTGAACACAAGAACTAAGCAATATCTTCTTCAATCTGTCAGTGACCCCTTACTGAAATTCTGAAGAGCTGAATTTCAACATTACACAGCCCTTTGCATGCTATGGGACAGAGTGATAACCATTGTGCTTGTAATGTGTTGGGTTTGAAAGCTAGACTGAAAGACGAATAACCCAAAGAGCAGTAATTTTTTTTCTACAATCCTTTAGAACATCCTTTGGACAAGGCCGGTTTTCTCATATTAGTAGGATGTTCATAATACAACATCTTGAAAAAAGATCTGATTTAAAGTTATTATTCAGCTCCCCACTTCATAGATTCCCCCCCCCCTGCCAAGTACAGTAATATATTTGAGTCAGTTCACTTTTTCTTAACATTTTAGAATATAAAAAACCCACTATGTTTGTAATATGGCTGACACCTAGTCTAAATGCAAAACTTAAGATATTCTTATCTATCAGATATTTAAAGCAAAGTAGTTTATTATTACTATTTATAAGAAAAAGGTTTTTAAATTAGAATTTAAGATCACTGATCAGTTGTAATGACAAGAAAAACCACCATATTAGTTATAGGGAAATGTATTTTTTCTTTTTCTTTAAGGTATTGTAAAGCACGTTAAATAATGAATAATTTCTGTCACAATATGAAAACTGAAAACCCATTAGAAACTTGCATTTAAAATTACAAAGAATAATTTCTGGATACTTACGTTATAATATTTTTTTAGGTAACACCTAATATCCAAAAGTAATTTGTTGTTCATTTGTGTAACATGGCAGAAAGGGAGCTCATTACATTCTTTCTTACTGCATTGTTGCAAGCTGGGTTCAAGAAACTGTCCCTGCCAAAAAAAATAAGGTTTAAAAAACAAATCCCAGGACACTAGGTACTTATGACAAGAAAATGCATATACAGTATACATAAAGACATGGACTTACAATACACAAACTATAAAAGTATACATATACACATCACAAATATACAAAATGTGCAAAAATACAATATATTTTAGAACCATAAATATACTTGACATGTGTTAGGCCCTCTCATTACATTTGGACACTCCCTCTCCCTAAAGAATCATCTCCAACAAGACTCATAGCCTTTTTACACTCTCCTAAAACTAATGTCATTTGGAGAACTTACCAGATCACTTGCCTCAAGAGATTTTATTCAACTAGTGAATAAAATAAAGTAGTGAAATCTATGGCAAAAATCAATCTCACTGAATGAGCCAGGCTTCTCATTTTATCAACTACACCAACGTCTTGCCCATTCTAAGACTACTGATCAGTCTTAGGATGGCTGAAGATGTGCTTGCAAGAGTTTAAAACAAGGTCTTCTTTTTGTTTCAAGCTTATACTCATTAAAAGCAGAAATAATAAATAACCATTGTAGTTAAACACCATAGACTATATTGGATTGGTCTATCAGAATGTTCAAACATGTTTGTGTAATGGACTTTTTCTGATCCTAAGGGCCTGTGTATGCCTGAGGACAAGACTAAGGAGCATACCAATAACATACAGAATGTGTATTACATCCCAAAATGGATGTCATGTAGCAGTCTTAGTCCAGTGCTAGGTTCCCATGAATAAGACCTCTGAGCTCTGCTTAGTGGCACGCACCCAGTGCCACAGTAAGGACTTGTTTTAGGATGTAGCACACACCTGGTGGGCTTCAAGGTAGCACTCCTAATGGACGCGGACTTTTGATGATGCAGACATGCCCTTGGAACTGACTGTAGACAGCTGATGTTAAACCAGTGAAATTTTCATGATCAATGAACTCCTCAAATTATTATAATAGTTTGCGAGAGGTTTTTTCTGTTAAGACTTAAAGTCTATGCTTTTCTAATACATTCTAGCTGTATCCTCCACCCACAACACTAAGCAATTCCAGGTGGAAGAGATTTTAGAGCTTGACATCCTCTCTTCTACAGTTAGCCCATCTGCAAGTTGTCAAGCCTCCGTGCAATTAACTATCTTATTTACAGCTGTAATGAAGCAAAAGTCAAGGATTTACAAAGTATTGCTGATCTGTGTCTGTCTTTTCTTCTCACTTGCTTCCAGTAACTGCTTTGTTTTGATTCAAAAAAATGCAAAACATCTGCTGTTTGTCCAAATTAACTTAAAATAATTACTTTTAATTTAGATAAAAGATTTATTTGCTTTAATTTTCAAGGTTTCCATTATTCTGCAGCCTGCTAATTTGCCAATGACTAATACATGCATAACATCGCAGTGGAGTTAAATACTTGGCTCTGTTTCAAGTTCTGATCCAAGGTCAGAGATACATTTTTTGGCAGAACTTCTTGACAGGAATGTACCCCTATGACTTTTTACGTCCACTATACAAAGACAGAAGGAAAGATAACAGAGAAAAACCTTTTGTCAAAAAGAAGGGAAGTGGGTTGTAAAAAGATAAACAGAGATTTTCAAAACCACTTTGTTCCAATTAATATGATTTAGGATTAAAAAAAAATGTCATTGCTACAGACAAACTTCATTAAATGGAGAATTGCAAGTTACTCAGCAGTTGAGATAAATACTAAAAATAAAAAAAATGTGCTAACTACCATTTGTAAACCAAGGCAGTTAGATTAATGAAGCCAAATGGTCTGATACTTGCTGCCAGACTACAGTATTCCAGACTACAACGTATAAATGCAAAAGACTTGAGCACTGACATAACAATCTCTCATCCAAAATTATCAACAAGAGTGTCTTCGCCTGCTTCAAATTCTAATAAGCTATATTTGAAAAGCTCTCCCTTCCCTCCTCCTCTTTTTTTTTTTTATCATGCAAAAACATTTTTCTTCTAAAGTGAAGTACAGAAATAAGAGATTAAAACTAACCGAACCATCAAAGACATTGTCATAAATGTTCTCTGTTCCACACTTTGGGCAGGGAAACTTGAATCTTTCACAATCCCTGTATTTCTCTTCATCAGTGAGCTGTGCTAAGCCACCAAGAAAAGCATCATTCTCTTCATCTTTATGATAATGATGATGGACTTTGAATTGGGAAGGTTCCAGTCCTATTAATCAGAAATAAAAATTGCAAACAAAGACCAATGTGAACAATTCAGCTATGTTATTTTTTTTCCTTGTGGATTCAGCAGGAAGAGGAAAATGTAAATTCAGATAGTGAAAAATCTATATTCAGGAAAAGATTGCTAAAAATATATATATACATACATTTTACAATTTTTAACCCAAGATGAAGGTTCATGTAAGATGAACAAAATCACTTATCTTTTTACACAAGATTGCTTTATAAATAAAACAAGCACACTGCATTATCTATCATGGGAGTATGCAACAGAACATTTTGTTTCTGAGGAAACCACTCCTAGTGGATGGTTTTATTGTTATTTTCTTTTTAAGTTACATTGAAAATATTTCAATAAAATGTGCATCATTATTAAGAAACAGTCTTTAAATCAAAATGGTACCATTAAAACTGAAAACAGAGAATAAAAACCCCATTAAAGAAATGCGGGTGCACAGCTATTACCAACTCCTTCAAGTCCGTACACAACTGCCAACTCTGATTTCAATGCAGTGGTCGATTTCATTTTGGCTCAGTGGTTAACAGCATGTAGGTTTCAATCTAATGCAGTGGTTAAAATTCAGTAGTAGCATTTAAAAAGGTAGTACTGGAGACAAAACGCTTTATATTTGGTTGACAGAACCCAAGCATTTAAACAAATAAAGTCCTAAAACTACTGATTTCATTACCAAAAGAAGGGGGAAGGGTCATTTTTCCTAGCAATGCAATTGTCAAAGTGACTTCAGTGAATTCTATATTTTTGGCATGTTTTTAACAACATGCCTAATCATCATTATCATCTTTTTAATTTTTTTTAAAGCAAGTATGTATTTGATCTGTAACGTTCGCTAGAATTAAAAATAAGAATCTAGATAAATGGCCATATCAAAATTTATATTCTAAAGAACACACGTGAGAAATGTTGAGGAACTATGGCTGAGTTTAAAATAAAAGAAAAACATCCAAGAAAAAAAGGATACCCTGTAGAAATGTTTTATAATAAACTGAAAGTTTTTATAAAAATTAAAACAAGCAGTAAACACGTTCTCTTGTAAAGCGTGACAATAATTAAGCATTGTATTTAAGGAAGTTGAAAAAAGATTCACATTTAATTTAATTTCTTCCTTATAAAGTTAACGAAGTCTTTGCTCTACTTAGTGGAGGACATATAACATTCACAGAACTAAAAAAATAACTTGACAAACATTTCCGTTAACTTATACCAGCAAACTCAACACCATTTTCTATGGAGTTTCACTATGTAAAAATACTCTATTATTTATCATTTTCATAATCACTTTTTTTTTAAACAAAGTGCTAAATGACAGTTTAACCTATTTAATTTCAATTAAAAACCTCTTCTCTGTCACATTTTTTCTTTTGATTATTGAACAATTACAGTACATAAAGGCTAATATTCTATACCATGTAGACTCTTGCACAATATAAACCTCACATTAATAGGAATAGCCATATGTTCTATTTTGCCCATGGTCCCTTGAGAGAGACAGCATGTTTTGTCAAATATTAAATAAATCAGTGAGTATATTTTTTAACAAGGCAAGACATTCTGCAACAGACTTGGTAGGTAAGTTTTAAATAAAACTTTTATCACCCCTCTTTAACACTTTCTTTAACATTTAAGATTTTGTCTTAAGGAAAAAAAGCACTAAGACATATTTTATTTCAGAAAGAAGGCAATAAGGATATGATATGAACTGTAAAAAGTGACGATTATGTAAAAGATGGCCGCAAGTATTTTAGAGGTGCAACAATAAATTTCAGTCCAAAATGCATCTTCAATTCTTTCTGAAAATATATTTGACTGTACTTCTAGAATAAATTATACTACATAAAACTTAAAGAAAATCATATTTTGCCCTTTCTGAAGAGGGGGATGGTGGTACAAGAAAAGGGAAATGGGTAAAAACTAAAACAAATTAATAACTTAGCTCCACATTTTAAAGTTGATAACTACTTCACTATATAACATTATTAGCCAGTAGGTGCAGCAAAGCCACGCAGGAATTACGGTGAGGAATTTAACAAGGAATATAAAAACACACAACTTTCAGCATGCAAAAAGTCCCACTGAAATTAATGGGATAACAAGTGCTGTAAAGCAGGTTCCTAGCTTTATTACCTTGCTGTACTGGGGCCTATATTATCTATTACTTCCTTTCATGGATGATTACTTGGTTCACTTAATCCATTTCAGCACACTAACCAGCAAACTCTCATTGGAGGGCAGATTATCCTATTTATCACACAAAATTTAGCCTAAAATATCCAAAAAAATAGGGAAATGTTCCTCTTGCCTTTGTATCACTTTTTAAAAATGAAAGAGCCCAAGAATTGTAAGTAATAAAAGCTTATCTTTTCATAATACTGAAAAAATAAGATGTGCTTCCTAAATATTTCAGACTTACAAGAGAAGTTTTAAGTATGAAGTTATTATCACTAGAGATGCTATGCATTATGGATCAACTTAACCTTAAAAAGGTAAAAGTATGAATGCATGATTTAAAAAGAATATACTCCTTCAGAAACTAAAAAATGATGAAAAACTCATGACATTTACTATTATGTGACCAAGATGTACACAAAGAGAGAAATCTGGAAGTTGCCATTGAGCACAATAATACAACTGTTAGAACCTTTAGTGAGTAACCAGAAAAAAAAATTAAAGCATTTAATAAACAGACAAAACTTCAAAATATTTTAGTGCATTTTAGTTGAAACTTCTGCAGGTGCCTTTTGGGAGTGGGGATTCCCTCCTCAAAACTACAAGCGGTGAACATGCACAAACCACAAATGTCAGATGAAACTTCAATTTTCCAGGCAACTCCTAGAGGTAGCTAAATAGATTTATCAATTTCCATAAATTACTTAGGTTTTTTTTAAATTGAGTTTAGCCTAACTCCTATATACCTTTACTGGAAGATATGAATGCTGAAAATTTTATCTGCTTATGTCTTTGCTTATTAGAGGTTTTGTAAAACAAAAGGAAAAGAGTATCTGGTACTGCCACCTAGAGGTTAGGAACGTGAATTTCTATTAAAATCCCATGGAGCATAAATGGAAACAAACACACTTTAATTACAGAATTATTCTGATTAACAAAACCCCACCAAGTGTTAACTCTAAACAATTTTCTTAACTGAAGAGATAATGACAAAGAAGTCCCTAGTATAAAAATTCCCAACTAGATAACACAAACTTTAAATAACTTAGTTAAAATAAAGGGACATTGTACTAAGTAAATTGCTTGAATAGGAATCCTAAAAGACAGCTATGTATAGTCAAAACACTGGAATGGCTAAAAACCTGATCTGGTTAGAAAAGTGGAAAAGATGTCAATATTCTTTTACTATGCCCAAATAAAATGCTGTAACATCATGAATCTGAGACAGAACATACCAGTTCACATATTCAGTCCCTCTCTATAAAAGTCGGAAGGGTTAATTAAAAATTGATGATCTAATATACTTATGTAAAGTATTGTCTCTTATTGAGCCAACCTGTATATTTAGTAGAGATTTTAGTCAAGCTTTCAGGCATCTGGCATACTCCCCCAGCTTGATGCCCAAAAGCTTTTCTGACATCTCACAGAACTATATAAGGTGGTCCAGTACTTCACCTCACAAAAGCTGGTGGTTCTCACATCCTATACCATCACAGCTCCACCACTACCACCACCTCCTCTTCTTTCAGATATTTAAAAAAATGTGCTTAGTACACACCAAGCAGTAAATGTAGTTAAAAGAAAGATTAAATAACTTGCGTTCCAAATGCACACGTGCACACACATACAGACCCTCCTCTAAGTTCCAAATCCCCATTTCAAGCAAAAGCCTGCACCTCATTAACAAATTCTGACCATCAAGACCACATAAAGGCATTATACAATAGAGTTCCTTTCACTTTACAGAGGAGGTCAGCCACCTACAGCCTGCAAGGCAGATGTGGCCTGCCAAGCAATTTCATCCAGCTCCCAAAACCCAGATATTGGTGTTGGGAGAAAAGCCGTGGTGTTTACCATTAGCAACAATTAACCAGCAGCTGGGTTGGAAGCGCCAGACTATTTCAGCCTGCCACTCCTAAAAGGTTGCTGACCTTTACTTTACAGCATCAAGAGCTCTAAATCTGTTATGTTAGCTCACATTTCTCATCTGGTCTCTGCAGTGAAGATACTGTGGAATGCAAGGTTACCCAGTAATATATGTACATTGTATAGATGAACATGTCTTTTTAATTAAGGCTGAAGTAACCAGAATTTATTAAAGTGCTCCCACACTCTGTGGTTGACTAACTACATATTTTGTCAGGCAGTTAGTTTGGAAATTGCTATTATAAATACTTTGAAACTATCTTTTCTATTTAAAAGAGATTTGTGAAATTATTTTGGTAACTCAAACCAATGGTTTTCTTCTACCCAAAAGAGTCATAGGCAGAAGCCTACCAAAAGTAAAATATCTCCTATCAAACCTATGCAGTATTATTAGCCTAACAGAGATTACTGTCCTGACTTTTCTAGACTTTACAGGATACATACAGGATTGCTCAAAATGTCAAGCATTAACAATATGGGACCAGCATCTGGGTGAGCTTAGGAATAATGGAATCTCTCTCAGGGACATTATATGGGCACAGGAAAATTCCCATTTATACAGCAAAATACTTTACATAATTTACAGTTATAGGCTCTGAACAACAGTACAAACTAAAAATACCCATATCACAATCAAACAGCCAAGATGCACTTATATAGTTAAGTTAACACTAGAAACTGTTTGTTGATTTAGAAATATAAGAGTAGTTAGTCTATAAGATGTCACGCCCTGCCTTCTTAGAAATATCAGTTCTGGCTTTTGTTGATTTCTTCCAACAAAAGCCCTAAAGTAGATAAAATTACACCAACAGGCACTTTCTTTTTGCCAAGATAGTTTATTTAACTTGCAAAATTGTACAAAACTATCCTGGCAA